CCCAAGTCCTAAAGCCCCGATAAAGCCTGAACCCACCGCAAGGAAAGCCGGGCCCTTCACCGGAAAAGAAGGGTTTAGGCTTTAGGGTTTTGGGTTTTGGGTTTTGGTTTTGGGTTTAGGGTATAGGGTTTAGAGTCTAGGGTTTCCCCCTAAAGGTTCGGCTTGGTCTTCACCTTCTACGAGAACTACTCCTGCTCTGCGATGATGCGAAGGCTCTTCAAGACGACTGGGGCCTCCGTCCCAGGAGGTGCCTCGTGGGTGTCGCTGTTTTCATAGGGGCCTGAAGAAGGTTCAAATTTTATGTTATGGGCTTAGAGGTATGTATAGGGTTATGCGCGCTTCTTAGGGGGCTGAAGGAAAGTTATATGAGTAGAGAAACCAAAGTTATTTGGCAGTGCGGGGCGTTGGGTTTTGTTTTTGGTAACGAGATGGCGGGCCGCAGAGGCCATCGTACTGCACGTAGTGACGGTGTGATGTAAGCTTTTGCAATCTGCGCTGGCTCGTGGCTCAGAGCATTAAATCTCGCTGGAGTAGCTTAGGCAACAACTCTTCTGTTTCATTTTGCGCGTCTTTCCTGCGGCCCGGGGTCCATGCCTAGCATTGAGGGGAAAACATCTTGAGGCCCCACCTGTCCGAAACTCCCATCGCGAAGCTAAGCATTTACTTGATATTCATACAGGTATGTAAGTAAATGAACCTAACCTACGGCACTGAACTCCGGAAAGATACTGTAAGCCTAAAGTCTTGAGCCCTAGACTATAACTAACATCTGGAGCCCCGGACACTAGACCCTAGAAATTCTGAACGCCAAGCCTCAAAGCCTGAACTCGGCTTGTAATATAGGGCTTAGGGTTTAGGGTTTAGGGCTTAAATAATTACCAAAAAGGGTTTTTTTATCATGATTATTAATGATTATAGTAGCGTGGGCCCCCAAAACCCTATTCCAGGCCTTGCCTATGAGGGAGTCATGGAGATGCTGAACGGAGCCGAGCATGGGAGCACTTAGTCTTTCACAGCAGTGTGGATCTTGCAAGATTTTGCTGCAAAACCCGTGGCTTCAAGTGATAAGTCGTGAAACCCAACACCTGAGGCCTCACCACCCAATGTTCAGACAGAGAACCCTGAACCCAAAACCCCTTCAAGGGCTTGATAGAAGCGCCTTCACAAGTAGAATCGGGTCTCAGGCATACTGTAGTGTAGCTATGTAGGGACTACAGGCGAAACATATGACTCATTACTCAAGCTTGTCTGTGATCGTCGTGCGAACTGGGCGTTTTAATCGAGCGGTTGAGGGTTTAGGGTTTAGGGTTTGGTGTGACGGTTTAGGGTCCAGGGTTGCTGAGTAAGTGGGGTCCAAGTGGTGGTGGCGTACGGTTGAGGGCTTCTCGCCGCGCCCATGCATGGAGATCTTTACAGCGCAGCTGAGCTTCCTACTTGCTGGCGGACACCCATAGCCTTTTTTGATCACGCCTAGGTCTTGACAGCCCCACTTCGTTTAAGCCGGGGTTGGTTTTGGCAGGAGATTGGAGGGCTTCGGGCTGGCGGTCTCTGGATTTTGAGGGCGGGAGTTTAGATTCGGACGCCAGCACGGTGTCATAAAATCCACCACCACCCAGGCACTGCCACCGTCTGGTTCGGAGATGAGCTGGTCTTCGGGAACAGCGCAGACGATGGCAACTGGATCCATCCCAGTGGCGACTGTGGCCGGGACCACCCTAAACCCTAAACCCCACACCCTAAACCCTAAACTAAACCCTAGGAAGCCCCCGAATCCATAGCCAAAGCGAAAGATCAAAGTCACGGGTTTAAAGCTTGCAGTGCGTTTAAACGCGTAGCAATACACCGAAGCGCGAGCAACAACTCAACCTCCCGTGTCAAAACCTCCCAGACATTACTTTCCTAAACCCTGGACCCCCAAATTCTACATGACTAGCCCTAAGGGAGCGCTTTAATATACCCCCCCGAGGAATTCTGAAAGGGATCCCAATGGTCCCATGTCAGGACAATGTCCCAGTGCCCATCGGAGACTGCGAAGCGAAATGGAGGTCTCCCGTGGAATCGCGAAGTGCTCGACAAGCGCCAGATCCCGGAGAAATCTACAAGTGTTGCTTGCCTGACGAGTCCATTTTGCAACTTGTTTCTGCATGGTTGCATGAGGGGCTTATGGGTTTGATACAACTTGTTGTTTTTGCGAGTTGTTGTCGGGTTTTGTGGGTTTTTGACAAAGTCTTTCACTTGATTTGGACAGTTCAGGGAAACTGACAGGTTGACTGTCCCACGGACACCGAGAGATGTTGCAGATTACACGGCCCCTACATTACATGGCTGAAGGGGGCTGGAAGTGCGTTTGGGTTGAATCGAGGTGAAGCGGTATTGCGGCTGAACTTTTCAACGCCCAGGCTGGTGTTGCCACTGGATCCGAGAGGTGCGGAAGCACCATGAGAGCGGCGCCATCATCTGCTGCGCCGTTTCGAACATCTATGACAGAGTTGCTTGGACTGTGAGGGGTTACGGGTCAAGTGCTCCGTGAAACCTGAGCCCCAAGCCCCACGATCTTAAACCGGAGCGAGAGAGTCAGAGAGCCCAATCTACTCCGAATTAGGGGTTTATGGTTTATGGGGCCTTGTAATTGTGGAGTATCACCATCTGCAAGTGCAACTAAGGCATCTCAGGCATATTCCCTAACCTGGGTTTTCTTTGTCCAGCTGAGGGCCCCTGTACAACCATCCTAATCCTAGCCTAAACGCTAAACCCTAAACCCTAAACCTGAAGCCCTAAGACCCTGTGTGTGCAACCCAAAGCCTCGAGCCTGCTCAAGCCTAGGTTTCAACGGTGGCTTGGGCATTTTGAGTCTAAAGCTGCGTAAGACCCGATAAAAAAACACCGTTAGCCTTGGTAATGCTATTGTGAGCCCCTTGAAAGCCCTGCAAAACCTTGCAAGCCCACTCTGTACCAAGACCCCCGGTTACAGCCTCCTTAGCGCCGCGCTCAGTACGAGCTGAGGGTCTTGGCAACCCCTTTTCCAAAACACCAGGCCTAGACACAAAATTAAGACCCCGCTATATAGAGCCACATCAAAGACCTATAGCCGCCCTAAAATCTAAACCCTAAACCCTAAACCCTGTTCAGCCGAGGATTGGGTGGAAGAATACAGCGCCGGCTCATCCGAGCTCTCGGATGCGGATGCCACGGCTCTCGACCTACCAAAGTGCCTCGCAATGCCCTAGGAGGTTTTCTTCAGCTTTAGGGTCTGGAGGCTATTTGGTTTAGGGCCCCTTAGGTTGAAGGTTTAGGGGTTTAGGGTTTAGGGTTTAGGGCCCTTTGGGGCTTGTTGGAGCTTGAAGGGTTAGGGGTTTAGGGTTTAGGGCCCTTTGGGGCTTGTTGGAGCTTGAAGGGACGCCTCTGCTGCCAAGGGAAGTCTTCCGCAACGGCCAGCCGAGGGGTTGGGGAGAAGGGACGATCAGGATCTCCAACGGGCTCAGCTTCGATCGCAAAGCGGCCATCCACTCGGACACAAGGAAGCCGCTGGGGGTGGGCTGTCGATGGGAGCGACAAGTTTTAGATAACCTCGGCTTTCCTGTCTACGCCTTCTTCATGCCGTAATTCACGCCAAGCGTGGGTCGTTTCGGGTGTCTCCGGATCGTTCAAGACGATGAGCCGGAACCTAGAACTTTAAGTCCCTAAGGCAGAGCCTTACAGCCGAAGCTTCCCTCTGAATCACTGAAGTCAGAAGCTCTCTGACTCCTGCGGCTCTTCATGCAGCCACGTGCTGCTTGACTGCAATTGCGCGACAGAGGAGGAAACAAGCTAGTGCTTGGCTTGAGGGCTTCGTGAGACACCACCCACAACGTGCCCTGAACCTTCAAACCCTCATCGAAGCCGAACCCTAAACCCTGGTGCCCCAAACCTAGACACTGAGTTGCTAGCAGAACCAAAAAGTTGGTGAGACCCGACCTTCTCTCATTTGAGTCCTTTTGGAAAGCATGGGCAGCTCCGGTCTCGCCCAAGCCAAGCTGTCTGTGCCTATCGGCACTGCACGAAACAGTCGCATCTGCTTCTTTCACCGCTGTACACCCCTAAACCCTAAACCCTAAACCCTAAACCCTAAACCCTAAACCCTAAACCCTAAACCCTAAACCTTCAAACGACAGACCCGGCTCTCTCTGTGGAGCTCTGTGCAGCCTGGTTCACGCAGGACCCTTAGGCTTGTCCCCTGCGCAGCCGCGCTCCCAAGGGGTAGCCTTTAGGCGGTTTAGGGTTTAGGGTTTAGGGTTTAGGGTTTAGGGTTAGTACCCGACCGACGCACGGAGACAGATGCACGCACTCCGGCGAACACATATACAGACGCACACACGCCCACACACGTGCAAATGCAAGCAGGTCCGTGCTCATAGTGACGGGCGATGCGATCATGTTTCTGGCCGACAGTCTCGCTCCGCTTGCCTAAGTTATGTACGGGCTGTACGATGATCCTCTGGTGCATTCTCGTATGGTCCTTCACCGTTAGATATAATTACGCTCGAATAATTTCAGAAATCTGAAGCAGGCTTGTACATGCCTGAACATCGATGACGGGTACTGGGCATCCGTTTTTAGGGTCCACGGCCTGGGTCTTGTTTGTGGTGGGGGATTTCTTTCTGCTTTTTGGGTCTTCAATTTTTTTTCCAGCATTTCTTGCTTCCGGGGCCTGAAGGGGTAAATCTTCTGTGTAAAGGGGCTTACTGCGAGGAGAATCCACATCAACAAGAGAGGCTGTGGCTGGTTTTCATGTGAGCATTTGCTACCTCATGCAAAATGTGTTTATGTATTGGCCTGGGAGGTGGAAACTTACACAGTGGGGTGCAAGTGCAGTGTTGTCGGCAACAACGTTTATTTACTTGAGCAGGCTGCTTGAAGCTGGCCGCAGGAGCCAAGCGGAGGCGACAAAGCGCACGCTTTGCTGACATGTTTCGAATTCTCTGGCTCAAAGACCAAGACATGACTCACGCCCCATGCAAAGCATGGGGCATTGTTTGATTAGTCCATACCATTTCATAGCATTTGCATGTCTTTGGCCGTCGCTCCAAGCGTTTCGCCCTGAAACCTCCAGTGCTCTGCAACTAGCCGTAGAGGATTTGGAGGCTTGGCTGAATATTTAGGGTTTAGGGTTTAGGGGTTTGTAGCGACACCTGGTAGGAACCAATAGGACCATTTCCATGTATGTGTGAAGCTTTTCGAGCCGTGGTATAGCCCTGATCTCAGCGTGACATGATCAGACTGACCAGCAAAACTGCTCTGCTATTGGGGCCTAGAGAAGGGGATCTGATAGCACCTAGATCCAATGCCAAGCCCGTTTCGCACTTGACATCCCTGACAAACGGGATATTTTTGGGGGAGAGCTTTATTTGCATTGCCCATGAACTTGTTTTTGGTTTTGGGACGTTGCGAGACTCCGGGCTTGGTAGAAAGCAATAGCAGTCTTCTGATTTTTCAGTGCAGTACTATTGTCGCTCTTGTTTGAAAAAGCCTGGTGAACAGTATGTTTTGGGCTCATATGCCACAGGTTACTTACCTCTTTCACAACCTAGGCAACCTAAAGCACCACACGCAGTTCCCGTCGGGAGTGGCGGTGCTGATATCCAAAGTATGACGCTTTGGTACAGCGTCCAATTTGGCAATGTTCTCCTTCATTCAGTTAACATAAGGGCCTTAATAATTAGAATATGGTTTTGCGGCCCATTGAAATATCACGTCCAAAGAAAGTTATCGCATCAGGGTTGACCGGTTTTCTTATGCGGCACCAGGCTGAACCGAAATTGGGCTCAGCTCAAGAGACCCTAAACCCTAAATCCTAAACCCTAAACCCAGCGTTGTTCGCAGTTTGACGCCGGTTCGAGATCGCAACCTCTGCTCTTCTGCCTTAATGTAGGAGCCTACTTTAACAAAAAACAACACCATTTTTTTTTTTTGGGGGGGGGGTTCCTTATGATATGTATACTACGATGGGCACCAAAAGCCTATTCTAATGATTCTAATGATTAAGGCCCCGATATTTTAGGCCCGGACCGCAATTCCTCGCATTTGCCGATGTTGTTCCAGCTCAGGAGGCTTGTGGTGGTCGTAGATGTGCCGGCAGCAACGCCGCCTTCGGTGAGTTCATCCTGAAAGTTCTGCCAAGCTACTCGCTTCCAGTTGGCGCTCGAGATTTCGCACCTCGGTCTGTATTTGGCGGGGGATTGTGCTTCTTGGGAGCTGTTGGAGGTGGAAATCTCGAGTAGAATCCGGAGGAGGTTTGTTACAGTGCAAGGTGGGCAAGGCTGAAAGAGTGCTCCTTGAACATCTGGGCATGTGCATGCTTTTGTTCGAGTCTTCCTTTTCTGAAACTTGTTTTGGTAGGTGGTTCAATTTAGCTGTAAGGTCGTGGGCGACGCGTGCGAAGATGAGAATCTGGATGCTGCCCTATCGGTGGATGTGGTGGAATGGCTGGATCCGGTCGACCCAGTGCAGCTTGGTACGCAGGGCAGGCGGTGGAGTCGAAAGGGCCTTATAATTGAGCGAGATTTGTTCTCCTGAGTGAGGGTGACCTCTTCATGATTCGAAGCGGCTCTGAGATCAGCCGACAGAGGGTTTCTGGATCACCGGACAACTTTAAGGAGCAGGGGAATTTATAGCCTTGTCATTGTCGGGGCTCGCCTCATTTTAAGCTCTGCTAGATTTCCGACCTGGTGATGGTTAACTGGTAAAGTTTTTGCCTTGGCACTATGGCATGGTGCAACTTTTGGCTCTTCTTCCGCTCGTTTGTCACGCTGCTTGTGCAAGCCAAGCTCAGGAACAATTCGACGATTCACGTTTTTCTGGAGCCCTTGCAGGCCGGGTGGGTTAGGAAAGGTGCAAGAGTCAGAGCGTGCGGTGGCGTGCCAGAGCCCAGTCTACCGAGACTTCCCTCACAACGCTGCAACATGTTCAAGATGAAGCCCACTTTGGAGCCCAATAGGTAAACTTTAAACTTTTTGGTATATTAAACCCCTACTAAAAGAAAAGTTTAAGTTTTCTTGGCCAGGGTACTGGGCAGCTAAGCCCAATTGTTGAGCGAATCAACCCGTCAATCCCCTGCAAGGCAGAACGGCTGCACTCTGCCTCGCCCGCCATTTGTGTCCGATCCAGTCCAACAGGTGCAAGCTACCTGACAACCAGTAGCATAATGCAGGAGCCTTGACAGCTGCTAGTACTGTTCCTTTTAGAATCATAACCCCTGTATGAGTTAAGTTACATGAGTATTACACAAACTACCCCAAATCCCTGTTCCAGTCATTTAACTTTTCTGTAAAGCAGCTTTACTACATGTCCCAAAAGGCAGAAATTGGTTGCAGGCGAGCACTTCATGCTTTTGTTGGATTTGCAATGTTTCTGTGGCTGTGGTGGTTCCTGTCCTTAAATTCATCGGGTGGTATACAGATTCCTGTTGATTTTTGTTGAATTGTTTGAATGTTTCGGCCTGGTTTGTTTGCATGGTTATATAATTACACTCATGCTACCAGTACTAACCGTGTTCTATTCTGAGAAAGTCTTTCAAGCTTGCTTGCAAAGGCGTGGGCTGAGACTTGCCGCGGTGGTCTGCATGATTCCCTGATGGTTGCATAAGTACGTCGTTCTAGTATAACCTCAGCCCAACCGAACAGAACCCCTTCTGCACCTAGACCCTAAACCCTACCCCCAAAAAAACCCTAAGCCTCAAACCCTATTCCAAGCATCCAGGCCCTTGTATACCCGTGAATCAGCATAACATAGGCAGTGGTTGCAGAGGAGCTCGGGGGACCAAGATGACGATGCACGAATTGGCCATGTGACGGTGTTGTTGCTATCTTTGGTACTGTACATGTTCGTGTCCATTGGTGTGGGATCACGGTATTACTGTGGCGGTGTCATGTTGAGTTCGCATTCTTGTTCCATTCTCGCAACATCCCTCAAAGTTCTTTGCCCGGCCTTTCTGCAGACCCGACCCTCCTCAGGTTGTGTGTGCCACTTGCAGCCGCCTGCAGCCGCCTGGGGCCCCTTCGCGTGGCTGCGGCGACGGTTGTTGGGACAGGAGCGGCTGGATGCGATGCTCTTGGACCTCCAGATTTCCTGCCCAGCAGGTGGGGCAAGACCAGAGAGGAAAGAAACAACATCGGGATCCGTAGCTAGCCCAACGGTCGTCAGATTTTTGCTCATACTAGACAGGCAGATCATGTGGCACATCATGACAGTTGAGTGTTCCACCAAGTTGCTGGAATCCCAAGATAAAACATCTGCTGTGGTTTTCAACAAAAATAAGAAACCTGCTTGACTCATCCTAAACCCTAAAACCCTAAACTGAAGCGAGCTGCGG